GCCACTGGCCTGGTGATGCCAGGGCAGCACCCTAGTGATGCCTGGAGAACAGCTGGCAGCCCTTCCTGGGAGGACAGGCGTGTTAGCCGCCACTTCTGGGCCGCACAAGGGCAGCGTTTTGGCGCGGGGCGTGGTCCTGGGGCCCGTTCCTCTCCCCTGTGGACGGGGCTGACAGGACACACGGGGCCACCCCTCTGGGGTTCAGTGGAGAGGAGTCAGGGTGGGATGTGGAGGGGCACCAACAAACGATGGACCCCGGGAGGGGTGGGCGGGCGTGTCCGCATGCAGCCCGGGGGGTCAGAAGGTCCGGCTGAGGGCCAGAAGCACGCCGGGGCCATTTGGGTGGAGGCGGCAGTGAGGGAGCGAGAGCCGAGGCAGCTGCTACCTGGGCCCAACACAAGCAGTCCCGACTACGTGCGAAGGTGTGGGGTGGGACGGAGGCCAGCGCAGCGCTGCGGGGCCCATGCGGTGGAGCGGAGGGGGCCGCCCCAATGCACAGCACCACTCGTTCTCCAAGACAGGCTTTATTGACGAGCACAGACTCTGGCCTCGACCTTCCATCTAGGGTCCCCAGTGGTAATCCTTTCGGTTCCGTGATCACGCTCATGACCTGAAAATACCCTGCAGTGGGATCCCCCCACAGAAACTGGACCGAGAGGCTGCGGTGGGGGACACCAGCTCCCGCTGGCCCTGGTCGCACAGCCAGGGGTGGCCAAGTGAGCAGGCTGTGGCCGGGTTCGGTCTGCACCACTCGGGTTAGGACTCAGTTCTCTCCCTGTTGGCTTGTCCTGCCAGTTTCGGTGCAGGAACCACCCCGCTGCCCATAAGCCACTGGCCCTGGTGATGCCAGGGCAGCACCCCTAGGTGATGCCTGAGGGACAGACTGGCCAGCCCCCTTCCTGGGAGGACAGGCGTGTCAGGCCCACTTCTGGCCGCACAGGGCCAGCGTTTCTGGCCGAGGGCCGTGTCCTGGGCCCCAGTCCTCTCTCCCCTGTGGACGGGGCTGACAGGCACACACGGGGGCCCACGCCCACTCTGGGGTTCGGTGGAGAGGAGTCAGGGTGGGGACTGTGGAGGGGCACCAAAGCCAGAACGATGGGGACCCCGGGGAGGGTGGGCAGGCGTGTGTCCGCGATGCAGCCCGGGGGGGTCAGAAGGGCGCTGAGCAGAAGCGGCCGGGGCGCTGATTTGGGTGGAGGCGGCAGTGAGGGGAGGCGAGAGCCGAGGGCAGGCTGCTCACCTGCGGGCCCAACACAACAGTCCCCGACTACGGCGGGAAGGTGTGGGGTGGGACGGAGGCCAGCGCAGGCCTGCGGGGCCCATGCCGGGGGAGCGGAGGGCAGCCCCCAATGCACAGCAACCCCACTCGTTCTCACAGACAGCGCTTTATTGACGAGGCACAGACTCTGGCCTGTGACCTTCCATCTAGGCGTCCCCAGCGTGGTAACTCCTTGGTTCCCACCGCTGAGATCACGCCACTGACCTGAAATACCCCTGCAGGTGGGTCACCCGCCTTCACCCAGGGCTCGCCCAGGGAGCAGCGTCCAAGGGCTACCAACATTTTAAAAACGGCCTGTACCACGAGCGTAGCTTCATCTTCAAACAGCAGCGTAGGAGAGCGAGTGGCCTTCCAAACGCCATCACTCCGTCACTGGCTCCGTGGTCTGTGCAGTGCACACTCTTGACGTGCTCTCAGCTTGTGTGTGGTCGTGTTGGAGACCCAGGCCCCAACCCCACACGGGGGGGAAGGGCTGAGGAAGTCACCACTGTCCTGCCCCGGTCCCCACCTTCTAGCACAGCCAGAGCTGGGTCTTCTCCATAAAGGCGCGAGGCTGACTCCCTTGTTCCACGGGAGCACACCCTTGGTTTCCGGGGCACCACCTGCATCCTGGCATCCTCTGCCCAGAGGGAAGCTTCTGGACCACGCCCCTGCTCAGGGGGGACCGCCCCACTGCTGCGGCGTCCCCTTGCTGCCGTGGAAACATCCTTCCCCCGGCAGTGGGGCCGTAGCCTGCTGAGGAGGACCCAGGGCCGCTTGTTGTTCTCGGGTCTCCCTGGTCGGCAAACCCAAACCGCTCACGGCCAGGTCCCCCATCCTGCGAGAAACGGCGCTTACGTTTAGGAAGAATGTCGAGGCCGCCTGTCGCTTGGGGAACGGCTTCGTCCAGCTCGGACTCAGAAATACTTTATTAGGGAGGCTGTCCCGAAAAGCCCTCCCGTGGAGAAGAGCCCTGAGCCTCCCGACCACAGGAGAGTCCTGGATGTCCTGTGTGGGCAGGTGTCTCTGCTGGCCCGGGCCCAGGCTCCGTCTCAGCCACGGGCACAGGGCCGGGTCCGCCAGCCAGCACCCGCCACCCTCCTGCCCTCGGCCCCGGCAAACCGCGGGCGGCTTCCCTGCTCGGGGCGAAGGCCGTGGCCCTCCAGCTCCCAGGTGCTGGGGGAGGACGCCCGGCCGCTCTGGGCCCTGGCGACAGTCACTCCACCTGCTCGGGCAGCTCCTGCTCCTGCAGGGCCCGCAGCCGGCTGCCCGCCGTCTGCTGCACGGCCTCCAGCCCCTCCACGTCCAGCTCCCGCAGCAGCAGCAGGATGGCGGTCAGGACGTTCTGGGGGCAGAGAGCGCCGCTAAGCCCCGGCAGCACAGGGCTGCTGCGCACCACGGGGCCGGCCCCGCCGGGGAGGGAGCGGCCTCAGGGACGGGCTCCAGGCAGCCAGCTGCACAGGAGCCACGGACAGGACACGAAGGAAAGTCCCGGGCAGAGGGGGCAAGCAGGACCTGGCCAGGGTGGTCTTGCCACTCACCCTATTCCTGTGACTGCTGGAAACGTCCCTCTGGGAGAAGGAAGGAAACCGGTCCCGGGAAGGGGCCTTCAGGCCGAGCTGGCTCTGGATGCAGCTGGTGAGGGGGGACAACAAGGCAGCGAGGGTCAGAGAAGCTGGGGACCAGTCACCTTTGCAGATGACCTCTGCAGCTCACAGCCCTCAGGGAGGAGACTCCGAGTCACACGAATGGGCGTCCCCACCCCAGCACGTGGGGACGTGCAGGGAGGCCGACTCCAGTGGGTGGGGACGTTCCAGATGGCACCTGGGCAGCTCGGGCAGCCTGAGCACGTGGGATGGTGGCCAGGCACTTACTTAACTGCCATCCCTGGGGGCAACCTCCTTGCACCTTGGGGTCCCCACTAACTGTAACACCTCCTGCCCAGGTCTCGGGGGCAGGGGCACCGAGACACAACGAGAGCCCCTGAAACGTGGGCACTGGCGCTCCTGCACACGGGCTGCGTGGGTCAATGTGGAGGTGCCACTCGAGTGCTGCCCATGGGGCTGAAGCCCGTGCGTTGGACAGCAGCTGCCCACCTTGGAGGTCACGTCCCAAGGCCCCCACACTGCAGGGACAAACTCAGCCCTGGGGCTGCTCCAAAGAACTGTCTCTACAACATGCCCCACGCTGTTTCTGCTCCACCTACCCCAGAGTGCCCGGCCGCGCTGCAGGCACCGTGTGGGACGGCTCCACAGCCCCCCACCCCTCAGGGCCTCGGCAGCACAGTGGCCACACCAAGGGGACACGCAGGCTCTCACGCACCCCACCAACCACCGGACTGGGAATGGCCTCCAGGCTGCGGCCCCCACTGAGGCCCTCCCTGCCCCCCTCCCCCAGGCTACAGGAGCTGGTTGGCAGCCTCTCCCCTGCACACCTGCAGCTGACGGGACACGGAAATGCTGCTGAGGTCACTACTGCAGGGGCACTGGGGTGGCTCCCGGGGAGCACAGAGGAGAAGCAACAGCCATCCTGGATAACCCTCTGCCCCACTCCCAGAGACGCAGGCCACAGGAAGTCCCCTTTGACCCTCTGGAGGAGGCCCCGCTCCCCCAAGCCTCACTCTGCCTCCTCCTCGCAGCAGCTCAGCAGGTCCTGGCCGGTCTCAGAGGCAGAGCTGATGGAGCTCAGCACGTAGGACGGCTGCTCAGGGCAGCCGTTGCCCACACCCTGTCTGCCCGGGGCGGTGATCTCCTCTCCCTCCAGCAAGGCGCGGGACAGCTCCTCCTCCGTCACAGCTTGGGGAAGGACAGGGAAAGGACATCAGAGCGGCCTCAGCACGTGCCGGCAACATGCATCACTGTGCGATGGCACTGGTGCCCCAGGTTTGCGGCCTGTGGAGCTGAGCCCGCCTAGTCCCTGTGAGCCAGCGTGACGCAGCGTGAGGCCAGACACGCAGTCCTCGCTGGACCCAGCGCGCATGGTGCTCACAGCAGCTCTGCTCTTCAGAGGACGACAGGAGGGAGACAGGAGGGAAACAGCACCGAGCCGCGGCTGCTCACAGAAGGGAGCCCAACACCGCGCCCACGCTGGGCACTGCGCACAGGCGCCCACTGCATCCACGCTTCCGGAAGAAGAAGCACAAACCTGGGAACAGCTGCTCCAGGAGACTCTATATAGGGGACAGCTGTTCTTGAAAGACCAGGAATTTGCAGAGGAGGAAGACAGAGGGACAGGGAACCTCCCGTCAGGGCCTGCGTGAGCCTGTGGGCCGTGGACACCCACCTTGATTGTCCAGCTTCTGGAGGTTGGGCAGGTTGCGCAGCACGGTCATGCGGTAGCGGTGCGGGTTGGCGCCGCAGCACGGGTTCTCAGCCAGCCACAGCACCCGGAGGCGCGGCAGGTCCTTCAGGTAGAAGAGCTCGGCCAGGCTGTGGATGCAGTTCCTCCGCAGGTACAGCTCGCTCAGGCGCTGGCACCGGCTCATGGGCTCCAGGCTGGACACACTGTTGACGCTGTGTGGAGACCCGCATGGTTGGCGGCGGGCGGGGCTCACGCTTCCCAGGTCTCGTCTCAGGCACAAGTGCCAGAGAAAGGCCTCTCGGGGCCTGTGCCCACTTGCCCGTCTCTCACTGATGGTGAGGAAACTAAGGCCTCCCAAGGGACACTTTGTCCTGAAGCAGGCAGTGGCCAGAACACATGGCAAAAATTATGAGCAAGCTCCATGTCACAGAGGACCGAGTGCTGAACTTCCAACATCCCACACTGAAGAAGAAACAAAGGACCTGGGTCTAATTTCTGTTCTACAGAAATGTACACACATCAAAGGAGCAGCAAAGCGCAGGAGCAGCAAAGCGCAGGAGCAGGCGGCAGAGCCCTCAGGTCAAACCAGCAGGCTGCAGGGACCTGTCCCTGCCACAGCCAGGCGGGGCCACTCACAGCTCAATGGCGGCTCCCAAGGCCCAGGGACACTGTGCTGAGCCCGTCCACCCGCAGCGTCCCTCAGGAGGGCTGCGCTGTCTGCCATGCACCTTGCAGGTCCCAGTTCTCCCCTTGGAGACACACCACCACACTCCACACTCGCTCGTTAACGCGGTTCTTGGTGCCACATGCTGGGCTCAGCATCTCACACAGGTCATTTCACTGAGCGTCTCGGTATGAAGCCGGCACCATTTATCCGAGAGCAAACTAAGGTCATTTCCACGAGGAGCCCGCCGAGGCGCAGGCCTCAGTGTGAGGCATAGCCCAGACCCGCAGCCGGCCCCAGCCCTGCTCTTTGCCCGCTCCCGCCCGCGGGCACTAGGACCAACGCCCCTGCCATCATCAGGGAGGGCTGCCCCAGGCCTCACGCGGCAGTTCTCCAGGGCCTTCTCCACCCCAGAGCTGGCCTCTGCTCAGCCTCAGGCGGGCCCTGGCCGCTGCAGGGATGACTGAGGACGATCAGGGACACCCAGGGAGACCCCGAGGAGGAGGTCAGAGCCCAGGGGCCACGGCGGCCAGGCCCTGACTATCCTCCTGGATTGTACGGGGAGCCTGTAGGTCACTGCATGGCACTGGGCCCCAAGGGAGAGACGTGAGCTGGGTACCTGAGAGTGACCACCTCCAGGCTGGGCATCTCCCGGCAGATGGAAATCTAGGAGGGAAGAAAACGTGACTGGAAAGGCCGCTCGGCCCCAGTGTCGAGACGAGACTTCCGTCAGGCCGGCAGAGAACTGTGCCTGAGCCATGGTCATCGCTATGCCAGGGGCCGAGGGCAGCGGCCCTGCTCAGCCAGGGCTCAGGTGACGTCTGTGAGAACGCTGGGCTCTGCGCCACACGCCACTCTGCGGCCAGGCGGTCCCTCAGACTGAAGGAGAAGCGTGTGCTCACCGTGGCTCTCACGCCACGTAAAATTTAAACGGCACCACCGCTACCCGATGCCAGCCGTGACGGCACTCACTTCAGGTGCCCTCAGAGGACACCAGGCAGGGGACCTCAACGCCCCCATGCTGGGACAGATAGCCTTTCTTCTTGCTGTCCCTGAGGCATAGGGAAAAGACAGAAGTCCCCTTTGTGCCTACAGAGCTGGGCCAAAAGGGAAATGGCCTGAAACTGGATCTCAGACCGCATTCATAGTACTAACTCAGCGGGACCGAGCGGCTAGGTGCTGGGGTTGGTCCAGAAAGCCTTGGTGACCGGTAAGCTTGCTGAACGGCACATTCCCCAACTATGTGGGAGCCTGCCCTACTGGGCAGGGAGCCAGGGCCGGTGCCAGGCAAGGCCCCTGACCTCACCGAGCTCACAGGACGGTCAGAAGGCTTCACGTGTGCTTTTGTATTTTTGCTGCTAAATACGCAACATTTCAGCCAGAGCACGAGGAAAAATATGTCCAGGTGCCCTGGGTCCAGGCTTTTCTGGACTAGCCTAGCAGTGACTCAGCCACATTTAGTTTTGTTGTAAGGAGAGTTCAAGTTATAAAACAAAAGTATATTAAAAAGTATATTAAAGTATATGAAAACAAAAGTATATTAAAAAGTAAAAGACCAGCACAAAATCCCTGTGTAAGTTGGGGATATTGTTCTAGGATTGAGAAAGAAAGAAAAAGAAAAATCTCTTTACAGATGCAGGTGTGCAAGTCCCCTCACCCCAGGAGGCTCGGTCTCTGCCTGCCATGGAGACGGCAGGGACAAGCGGCTGGATCTGACTGAGAAGTGAGGACGCTGTCCTTAGCGAAGACAGACCAGACAGACCGACCCTCCTGGGATCCCCCTCCAGGTCAGAACTTGGACTCTGCTGCCCTCCTCTGTGAGCGAGACCAGCAAGTGACAAACAGCGCTTCCTTTACGGGAATGTTTACGGGAACTTCAAAATACACTTGGGCACCACAGAATTTTTTCACGAGCGGCTCTGCATTACAAAAACTGCCAAGGCAGGGACAGAGCTGACAGGTGCCGTTTTGTAGGTTTTACAGTTCTCTGGGGGAAGAAGTCACAACTTTTGGGATTGGGGCCATTTGGAGAAGATTAATGCGATACTTACATCTGTGAGACGGCTACCCCTGGGGAAAAGAAAAGACACACACACACCTTAATTTTGTATACCAAAGACAAAAATTCCAGACATTAATTATGGCTATCTACAAACCTTGGAAGGTTGCCCAGATAACTGGCAAAAATGTCAAAAACTGTTTTTTGGTCGATTTTCAACAAAACTGCATGTTTGATGCTTGGAGGGTACTTTTCGAACTGAGGAGCAGTAGGGGCTGCTCCATTTGTAGGACACAGAATGATTTACTCATTCTCAGCAGAAGGCTAATTACCGCCACTGATGCACACAAGGGAGTCCTTATAGGAGGCCAAGTTCAAAGGCCAAACATGCAACTTATGAACCAAACTTTAGAAGCCTGAAAGAGGACTGTTGTTTCTCTCTGCCTAGCGAAGTAATAGCCATCCGATGCCAAACAAAGACATACATTATTCAAAGCAAATGACTCAGGGGAAATGTGGCCAAAACACCAGCTGTGCCAGGGCAAAGAGAAAGACTTTAACCAACACAGAGCGCGACACCCTCCTGTCTGGCTGGAGGAAGGGTCCGCCCCTGCTGCCCACTGCCACCCGCGCTGTGGCAGTTCACAGGGCGCCTCGGCCCCTCGGCCCGGACCCCCAGGGGACACCTGGACTCCAGGCCGCCTCCTCTGGAAGCTGTCTTCCTCGGGGCGCGACCGCCCGCCCGCAGGGGCGCAGCACCCAGGCCCTTTCCGTCGCCTGCGGGCTGGGACGCGATTGGGCACTAACGCCCCGCGGGCACCCGGGGCTCAGCCGTCCTTCCCCGGCCTCCCGCCGCCGGCGCCGGCGCCACGCCCCCGCGAGTCTCCGGGAACCGCGGCTGCGCTGGGCGAGCGCGCAGGGGGGCCCGGGCCCGCAGCGACACCCCCAGAGGCTGGCCCTGGGCGCACCCCATCTCCCGGGGTTACCCCCTCAAGCCCGGCCCCGGCGCCCCGTTATCCCCTGAGCCCCGAAGGCCCCCAGTTCTCCCTGGACCCCCTCAAGCCCGGCCCCGACGCCCCGTTATCCCCTGAGCCCCGAAGGCCCCCAGTTCTCCCTGGACCCCCTCAAGCCCGGCCCCGGCGCCCCGTTATCCCCTGAGCCCCGAAGGCCCCCAGTTCTCCCCGGGCCCCCCAGGACTCCCCAAGCCTGACCCCGGAGCCCCGCTCTCCGGGGCCCCGCCCTGCAGCCCCGCTCCCCCGACCCCGCGCTCACCAGCAGTTGAGTTTGCGCACTCTGTGCAGCTCCGAGGCCTTGGCCCGGGCCAAGACCATCTTCCGCGTCAGCTTCATGGCGGCCGCGCCGCGCGGACCCCGGGCCGGGCCCCGCCTCCCTGCTCCCTTCACTGGGGACCGCCGCGCCGCGCGCGTCTCCAGGGGCGGGGCCTGCGTCGTCAAGGGCGGATCCTATGAGCCCATTGGCCCAGGACGCGGAAGCGGGGCTGCGCGAGCGCGCTGGGGCTGCCTCCTGGGCACCGCTCCTCCCGCCCAGCCCCTCGGACCTAGTCCTGCGCATGCGTGGCTTGGGTACCCGGCTCTGACGCGATTCTGGCGCGACGCGGGGGGCGCGCGGCGAGCTGCTGTTGTTGGTGTGCGAGCGTGAGCCCGGGCAGAGCGAGGACGAGGAGGGGTGCGTCTCTGCCCGCCTCACAGCGATTCTCTCCGGGGTAGCCCGGGGCCGTGAGGTCGTCGTCCTCTGCCTCCCTCCGGCGTCTACCGAAGAGCCGCAGGTGCCCAGGGCATGGACAGGCCCAGCAGAGACCTCACAAGTGTCGCAGCCTTTTAGGGCTCAGGTGACCGCGGAAATTATCATTACCTGGCCTAAGCTGCATTGAGGCGGCCAGTGGGGCCCGCAGACCTAGAGGGGCCCGAGACCCAACCCCCTCCTCGACCCAGCTTTAGCAAGGCTCCCCTAAACTCTCTTTTCCGCTAGGACTGCCCAGCCCAGTCTCAGCAAAGACTCCTGCTAAGTCCCCACCCTGGATACTGGATGCCTGATCACCTCGCACGCGGATGAAGTTCTCATCGTCCTATCCTTGGTTTCTGACCATCTTGGCCTGCCTTTACCAAGAATCCCCGCGCATTAAGTTTTGCCAACCTAAAGAAAGACACTAAATTATCTCCAAATATGTTGAGTTTACTTGGGTGTAAGAAGTGCAGATTATAATCTGGAAAGCACTGAATGGCAAGCCACCAGTGCATCCAGGCAGGGAAGGGTAAAGGCACGCTTTTCTTAGCCAAAAGGGAGAAGTTCACATAAACTGCTTAGAAAAAGTTAGTTTCAGAGGCTCAAAGTCAGAGTTGTGAGTTTATTGGGGGAGACACCATTACTGAGCAAATGTTCTTCCAAGAGCATCTTATCTCAGTTGCTGCAGTCCTGAAGGGTGACTAGTGACAAACCTTGTCAAAGCAAGAGATGCGTGATCGTGTGAAAGGGTTTCTTGTAGGGTTTTTAGAAAGTAATTGAAAATAGTTCGTAGACATACAAGCATGAGTCTCCTGTCCTTTAGGCCTTCCCAGCTCTGTTTTGTCTGGGTCTGATGAAAGTGATTTCATACTGGTATCTGCAACTTTCATACTTGGAGGATCATAATAGGCTTTATTTGTGATTCTAGCATCAGGCAGCACTGCATTCAGTCATACAGAGTGAACAGAGCAGGTTGGTTTTATGAACAGAAAATGGCTTAAAAAAAGAACCAGAAGTGAACTGGTCCTTTCAAAGTTACTTTCCTTGTAAGGTGGAAACACGGAAACAGAACAATAGCAAAATATAACAACTAGTTAACATAAGGTTACTTCAGGTTACTTTTTGTTGTAGGGATTAAGGGCAGGGGGAACTTCATCATCATGCCAATTGAAACTGACCTGTCTGGGGAATTTGGTTGTTTTTCTCCTGATTTCTGGGAAGGCCAGATCTTTAGCATGAGTGACTTCATCTTGTTTTTCAGTCTGGTCTGAATATCCTAGTATAGGAGTTTAGTAGCCTATAATTTTTATTTAGCACCTGTTAAGGTAGTTTAGAAGGAATCTCCCTATCCTTGGTGTCTCTTCTTAGTAATTTTCTATCCACTGACCTGCTCACACTGCTCTTTGGCTATATATCCCCACCTGTCCTGGGTATAGTCGGAGTTGAGCCCAGTCTTTCTCCCCTATTGCGATAGTCTTGAATAAAGTCTGCCTTACATCACAAGTGTCAGAATAACTTTTTTCTGTAACGTAGGTCCAAGGCTGCTCTCCTTGGATGTCACAGCAACATCTGAAGGCCAGTGTCCCTGAGACCAGTAGAGGACCTGCCTGGAGGAGGGACCTGTGGCATGACGGGGGTTGTGATCCAGTGGCAGAGCACAGCTTCACCTTCCTCACGGGGGAATCATGGACAATACGGGGAGTTCTCAGAGAAGTAAAACATTCCACTGCTGTGTTTTGTCCCACTTGTACTTGGCTGAGTTGTGGGGTGCAGTGGGCGTTTATCTGTCAGGTTCTTAGCCTGAGCCTCTCGTTGACACCTGAGTGAGGTAGCCCTAGAGAAATGATGCTGAGCCTCCCTGGGCAACAGAGAACTTTCAAAGTTGCTTTGGAGAAGGAAGGTCAGCTCGCAAGCGGTGTGGCAGAGCCGGTCAGAGCCCTCAAGCAGACACTGGCTTTAGTTGCCACCACCTCAGTACCTATTAGGGTCCCGGGTTTTAGGGCTGAAGAGGATGGCTCTCATGTTGAAGCCCGTGGTCACTGAAAGCAGGTGTTTGGTGGTGGCCTGCAAGTGCACTCTGGGCCAGTCACACGGAGGAAACATTCCAGGAATAGAGTGGCCCAGTGGTGGGGAGAGGAGGAAGGTGCTGTGCTCAGGGTGGCGTGGGGGTTGTTGGGTTAGTGTAAGCCTTGGGAGAATAGAGGCCTCAGCGTAGCACACCTGACCTCTTTGCCACCAAGCAGGCAGAGAACAGTCGGTACTAATGAGGCCTGAGCTAGGGGAAATGCAGATACCGGAGCTCCGACCCAGCGAGAGTGGTAGGAAGCTCTGGCAGGCTCAGGCTGTGTGAACTCGCAGGGGCCTCTGGCCATCCCGGTGGGGGGCCACGTCAGGAGCTGCCAGGAACCACAGAGCAGGCTGTGGCTGGCAGCAGGCCCTGAGAGCCAAGAGAGGGTGCTGAAGTCCCCACAGAGAGACTGCACGAGGGTGAGTAAGGCCACCTTGGGTGCATGGAAGGGAGCCAAGCCTTGGCAAGCTCCCCCTTTTTTGTTCGGAGGAGGATGGGCGAGCCTGTGGAGGGGCATCATTGGTTGCGAGAGACACTGCAGCCTGGTGACTGCTGGGGAGAGGGCTTTGGAGTTGCCAGTCCTGTTCCTCCTGGGTTTGAGCCAGCTGGCCTTGGTGGCCCCTCCTGCTTCTGCTTAGACTGCATGGCCAAGATGAAGGGCCGGTCCAGGTGGAGGGTGAGCCATGCCAGGTGGTGTCTGGCCCTAGCCTGGTGACAGGGCCCTGTGGGTGATTCCGCCTGCAGGAGGGCTATACCTGGAGGGTTTGTAGGGGATGGGGCTGAGGAAAGAGCCCCCAAGGGTCTGACCAGAGCTGGTGGAGGCCCTGGCACTTCAAGGCGTGTGGATCTTGCTGCTCTGAGCAATCACTTCGGAGCAGTGACCGGTCCCAAGAGCCGGCAGCCCCGGACAGACTGGGTGGGAGGCAGGAGCACTTGGCCACATGGTGTCCCAGCCGTGGGTGCTTCTGGAGCCCTGCACGTCTAGGCGGCTGCTCGAGAGGGTGCTTGGCGGGTGGGCTGGTCGAAGGTCCTGGCAACTTCAAGGGATGTTGTAAAGTGAGGATTCTTTGGGTGGGAAGTAGAGGCGTGGTGGTTTGGGAAGATGTCACCGTGGCTAAGCTGTGTTTCCCCAGAGCTCCCTGCCCCACGTGGCTCCAGGCTAGACTTGAGCCTGGGAAAAACTGGCCTGAGATGTGGAGGGTGGAGGGTGGAGGAGGAGCGGCCTCCACACAGGAGGGCGGATCAGTTAGAGATGGGGAGGGGGCGCAGACGTGGGCAGGGTCTTCCTCGTTGTGCTCCCCTGCTGCAAACCGGCAAAGGCAAAAGTGTCCAGCAGCTGTGTTGGGTTTGTATCCAGAGCTGGACGTGTCAGGGTCTCTGTCTCCCCACCAGGGGGCGCTGCCGAGGGACCTGCCCCATCTCCAGCCCCTCCTGGGTTTCTGCTTCCCTCATCCCCTCGCAGTAGTGTAAATTGAATTCCTGTAATAAATTCCTCATTTCGTAGCACTCCTCAGGGGCTTGCTTCCGAGAATGAACCCTGACACAAGCAGAAATGCAGCCGCAACCCAAACTTGCTCAAACCAGAGACGTTGGCTCACATTTCTCAGGAGCCCAGGGCGGCATCTGTGGGGCCTGGTCCCTCGCAGCCCTCTCTGCGCAGCGGCGCCACCACCTGTGCTCTCTCCCGGTGAACTGCTTCAGGTGGGCGGGAAGATGCCTCCTCCCAGTCAGTCAGGTCCGAGTCACGGGCTGTCCCCGTTGGTGTGGCCTGGCCTTGCGCCACCTGCCTGCAGGCCTGTCGCATGCCTCTCTGGAGCTGGGCTCCAGGGTGACCCAGAGGCAGACCCCAGCAGTGTCCTCTCCAGGAGGGAAATAGGTGCCTGGCGGGGTGGTGGCCTCGGCGCTGCGCCATGCCGTTCCCTACCGACAGCTAACGCCCTTCCCTGTGCTCGCTCGTTTTCGTCGCACAAACCCTCCTCTACTCCAGCCCAGGTCCCCCGTGAGCGGTCACAGGTCAGCGTCAGCACCACCCTGGGTGTGCCCTGGGCCTCTCTCGGGGTTCCTGTGTGACTGCCCTGGGGCTGTGGTTGTGGCCCTGGCCCAAATAGGACAGCGTCCACCTTTTTTTTTTTTTTTAATTTTTCAGGGTCTCTACAGTCAGTACCTGCTGAGCGGATCCTACCCCAGCTGAGTCACGCCTGTGTTGCCTGGCGGCTCCGCACCCACGTGCTCTCACCAGGCCCTTCCTTAGATTCTCCCTGGTGGCTCACGCTGTGGCCTCATCCGCACCCCTGCCCAGGGGGCCCTGCCCGCTGCAGCTGTGCCCTGCGGCTCTGGCTGCTGGGCCGGGTTCGTGGCGGTGTGCGGCAGCCTGAGCCGTGCACTTTGTCGTGTGCTTGTTGACTGTTTTCCCCCTCCTGGACTGTAGATCCCTAGGCGAGGCCTGGGCTCCTCCTTCTCCCAGAGCCGCGGCTCCAGGACAGGGCGTGGCCTCAGCAAGGCTTCTGGAAACGCTGTGGACAGACCGACTGTCGGGGCAATCGCGGGTCCGAAGCTGCCTCCAGGTCTTGGCCAGGGCGGTTCCCAGCGGGGCCTGGGCGAGTGTGTAATCTCTCTGGGCTGCAGGTCCCGCATCCCACCAAG